TCAGAATGAAAGGAAAGCTGTTCTGTATCAAACCATCTAACCAATAAATGTCATATTTTAAAAGTAGCAAAATAAATAAATAAGAATAAAAATTGTTGAATCAGTAAATGTATCCATTAATCCTCCCTGAAGGATTCTGTTGGGGGTGATTGGACCCCTATTTCATGTGATAGGTTGTTTCAAAATGTTTATGAGGAATAAGGATCTTTTTGCCCCTTTATGGAGAAGAGGGTGAAATGAGTGGTGCTTTCTCTGGAAAGAGTGACTTGGAATCAGTAAGTTAGGAAGAGTTAAGGTTCCACAATCTTCTTGGTGACTTCAGAACTATGAAGAGTGGAGAGGGAGGGAGAAAGAAGGAGGAAAGGAGGGAGGGAAGGAAAGATGGAAGGGAGAAATTGAGGAGGAAAGAGACAGCTTATTCAGAAAGAAACCAAAGAGCGCTGAGACCTGGCATCCTCTGAGAACTGGGTGACCTGGGTCACTGGGCTTGTTTTCTGAATGTCAGCTGGGAATGAGCCAGCCCAGAGGACAGACAGGGAGCTGGAAATGAAGAGCTTGCTAATCCTGCGGTTTTGTACAAATCCTCTCATGTCTCTGGGCTTCAGCTGTGCATAAACTCAGAGACTGGACTAGAACAGTGCTGCCCAAAGTGGCATCAGTGGGCAGATTTCAGCTGGTACCCAGACATGCATGTTTCTATTTTAATAACTGTTTATCAAGAAATAGAAAGAACAAGAAATATTGTGATAATTGCTATTCCCAAGGATGAGGTTGATTCTTACAAGAGAGTGGATGGAAAGCAGGTTTGAAGGGACATATGTAATTTTGCCCAGGTGAGATGCAGGTACAAGATGGTGCTGGTGGACGTGAAGCTGATGTTTGGGAAATGCTGGCCTAAGTGACTGGAAACATTACCAGAAAGGGGTCCTGATCCAGACCCCAAGAGAAGGTTCTTGGACCTCATGCAAGAAAGAATTTGGGGCGAGTCCATACAGTAAAGTGAAAGCAAGTTTATTAAGAAAGTAAAGGAATAAAAGAACGGCTACTCCACAGGCAGAGGAGCAGCATGGGCTGCTTGACTGAGTATACTTAGAGTTATTTCTTGATCATATGCTAAACACTGGGTAGATTATTCATGAGTTTTCTAGGAAAGGGACAGGCAATTCCTGGAACTGAGGTTACCTCACCATTTTAGAGCATATAGGGTAACTTCTTGATGTTGTCATGGTGTTTGTAAACTGCCATGGCACTAGTGGAAGTGTCTTTTAGCAAGCTAATGCACTATAATTGGTGTATAGTGAGCATTGAGGATGACCAGAGATCACTTTGGTCACTATCTTGGTTTTGGTGGGTTTTGGCCGGCTTCTTTACCACATCCTGTTTTATCAGCGGGGTCTTTGTGACCTGTATCTTGTGCTGACCTCCTATCTCATCCTGTGACTAAGAATGCCTAACTTCCTAGGAATGCAGCCCAGCAGGTCTCAGCCTCATTTTATCCAGCCCCTATTCAAAATGGAATCACCTGGTTCCCCTCTGACAAGACCACCTTTGCAAAAATTATAACAGTGAGAAAATTATGGCAGTGAAAGACATCTGACCTAACCAGCCCCTGTCTTGCCTTCAGCCCCCAAACTTCCCTTGGTCATTCCAGGGCTTGGCAAGCTAACCTTGGGAGAAATTTAGTGTATAGTTTAAATGATAATATCCCTTCCCACGAACTAAACCTCCTAATGAAAGACACCAGGTTAGAAGGATGAGAGGCCAAATTCTACTAAGATGTAGGCAAAAAGGATTGCCAGTCATTATTCTGGAGGTCACAAGATTTGCAACTTCCCCAATTACTCCTGCAGATAACATGACTATTGTAGAACCTAGTAGTGTCCTTTTGAGATATCGTCTCAGACTTTTGCATTCCTGAAAACCTCCTAGATGACTCTACCTGGACCTGTGACTTTTGACTCAACTGGTCCTTGTGGCCCCACCCAGAAGTGAATTCAGAGTGCAAGGACTGTTTTCCACACCCCTATGTTTGCATCCCCAACCAATCAGCAGCGCCCATTCCCTAGCCTCCTGCATGTCAAACCATCCTTGAAAAACCCTGGCCTCTGAATTTTCAGAGAGATTGATTTGAGTGATAAAACTGTGCTCTCTCGTTCAGCCAGTACTGTGTGAATTAAACTCTTTCTCTATTGTAATTTTCCTCTCTTGATAAATTGGCTCCATCTGGGCAGCAAGCAAGGAGAACCCACTAGGCGGTTATGTGACCCCAAAGGAACCTTCCAGCTCTGTGGTTTCAAGGTCCCACAGCACCTAATCATCAGCCTCACGTACAGGTTAACCTGAAAAGGGGAGCCCCCTGGAGCTCCCTGCACCCCCTACCTGACCTGCCCTCTGGGAGAGGAAGAAGATCGTACAAGGTCTTGCTGGGGCAGAGGCTGCACCTCCATCTTCATGAAGCCAGGAAGCATCCTGAGTGGGTGGGAATAATTCTGATTAGCGAGTGCCTTAGCCTCTGAATAAGGTGGACTCGGAGCCTTTGCACTGGACTCTGAGCCCTCCTTCTGGGCCGCTTTTTCTCATCTCATTCAGGTCTGTGCTCTCATGTCACCTGCTTGGAACCACGTTCCCTGTGTGCCCCATGATATAGGCCTCACCCACTCTCTTCACTCTCCAGCCCTCGATCTGCTCTTGTTTCCTTGGCTGGAATCTTCTTCTTTATTTGTCACTGTGTTGAGTGTCCATCTCCTCTATTTCATATCAGCTCCATGAGAGGACAATCTGTGTCTGGGGTGCTCACTGCCTGTACCCTAGTCCATTGCCGAATGAATAAACAATTGGCCACGAAATATTCTAGTCATCTGCCTCCACCTCTTAAACACGCTTTTTTATATCCATTCAAGACAGGCCAGGGTTGTTCTTTTCTTTCTTCCAGGGCAGATCTGTGGGCCATTGTACTACAACTGGAGTGGGCATTGGCATGTCTCAACAACAGCAGGTGGAGCCGAGCATTATTTAACCAGAGCCTGTGCCTGGGGTCCTCTGAGAGTTCACCAAGGGCTCCCATGCGTCTGTTCCTGCTTTGGGGTGTCCTAGTCAGCCAGGCCCTGAGAGGCCAGTAGGGAAGCTCCAGTCTCTCTGGATGCCTGGCAGATTTGCTTTTAATGTTCGCATTCAGCAAAGGCTTTGCAAAGACAAAAGCTTGGAGGCCTGGCTGCCCATCGATGTTGCCCGGCTGGCAGGTCTCCATGGAGACCGCAGAAGCACATCTGTTCCCTCTGACTTCCCAGGGAGGGCGTCTGCCCTGAATCCACAATGCCCAGGCCTGGAGAAGCCCAGGCTGGGTCCCCTCTGTCCACAGGGAAAACAAGAAGAAGGGAGCATCTGTTCACACCAGGAGGTGGGCAGCTTGGGAGTCAGGGCAGAGACCGGGCTGGGCGCAGAGTGGACCCTCGGGGAAACAAAGGCCTGCGGCAGCACACGGAGCTCCTGTCCTGTGCATCTAGGGGTGGAGGGACCAGGAATGGAGGAGTAGGGGTCCAGCAAGAACAGCTGCCAGCCTGTTCCCTGGAGGCAGAAGCAGTGACTTCCATGAGGTCAGACTCGGGGTTCTCAATACCTGGAGCCTAATGCCCCTCCGCTTTCTGTAGCTCTTATAATCCATCTAGCCTCTGTTTCTCTCTCTCTGTCTTTCCCTTGCTCTCTCTCTCTCACTTTCTCTCGCTCTCTCTTTTCCTTTCTGTTTCAGTCTCTTCCTCTGGGCACTTCCCTGTCTCTGTGTCTCTACCTTTCTCTGCCTGTGTCTTGCTTCTGTCTCTTTCTTGGTACCACCACTCACAAGGAGCAGTGTCTCGGGAGCTATAGAAGAAACTACAGAAGAAGAAGTTAGAACTTGCTAGAGCTGTGCAAATGGTGCTCAGCCCCAACTTCTGCCCGTGGCTGGCCTTGCCCCTAGCCTTGCCACTCAGAGCACGGCCCTCAGTGTTCCTCTCTGCACAACCGGATTGTCTCCCCTCTGGGCTCTGCCTCCTCCCTCCCACCCCATGGGAGCAGGGAGCCTGTCTTAGCTGGAGGAGGCTCAAGTTCACATTCTGGGACCCCTGCAGATACGGCATTGCCTGGTAGCCTCAGGGCATGTCTACCCCCTGAGCCTCATACCCACAGTGATGCTGATGCCAGGAGCTAAGTCTCCCCCACCATCTCTGTCTGTCTCTGTGCAATCTCTCATCGTGACATTCCAGCCTTGCTTCAGGGTGGTCAAAGTTCTGACACCTTGGGCCAGAGCTCATAAGAAACAAGTTGAGGGAGAGAGAGAGAGAGAGAAAGAGAGAGAGAGAGAGAGAGAGAGAGAGAGAGAGAGAGAGAAAGGGGCAAGATCTGAACTGCCTTTTATGACCAAGCCTTAGGAATTTGCAGTTTCCACTTCCCCCACATGCTGTCCGTGAGGACGACTCATTCCTAGTCAACAGCAGAGAAACAAATAAATCTAGCCAAAGGACTGTCAAAGAAACGTAGATGTATTTTAAAGGCACCACACATAGCAAGAGAATGGCAGGGCTGGGACTTGAACCGGAGAGTCAGGCTCCAGAACGTGCGCCTTGGCCACTCTGCTGTGGGTTTTTCAATGTCTTTTCTTTGCAGGGAAAAAGGCTGCACTTGGGCCCAAGCACATAACAGATGCTCAATAAATGCTTGTAGATTATATTGCATAGACTGTAAAATCCCACAAGGCCAAGGACCCCAAGACAACCTTTGCTCTCATCTCCAGAGCGCAGGGAGAGAGTGGATGGGCCAGAGAGGGTGCAAGCAGGAAACTTCCAGGGGCCACTGGTTGGAAGGGCTAATGAGATCACCAACGTGCATCTGTCTCCACATAGCTCTAATGAAGAAAGGCTGACTTTCCCTTTGCAGGGTTTCCATAGCAACCAGCAGAGGCCCTGGCTTCGGCAGGTGTCCTCATTACAGCTGGGAGCTCCTGGTTACCAAACACCCTGCTCCTGCGGGCTATTGACTAGGCGCAAAGCTAGCCAACTATGAGGAAGGGACAGACATGTACTCCCTTGGCATAAGTGACAGGATCTGTTATTCTGGCAGGAAGTGATACCATGGGGTGGGTAGGCTTAGGGACAGGAAAGAACAGCCTCCAATTCTTGCTGGAATGGCAGAATTGCAGCATGTCTTTGGAGATCACCTAGTCCTGAAACAGTTTTATTCGCTCTTGGATTCACTCACTCTCTCAACCAACATCCATGGAGCGTCTGCGCTGGGCAGGAGACCTGCTAGGGGCTGAGCTGTGAGTAACACCAAAAATGGCCTGTCCTCGTGGGCTGGCATTTGGGAGGGGACCAGAGGACACTCAGAATGTGTCCAGAGGGAATCCATGTGCTGGACAGGGGCAAGAACCAGAGGAATGTACAGCAGGAAAGCAGAATGAGAGGGTGGTAGAGGGCGCAGCCCTGGCAAGCCCCCTGGAGAAGGAGGCAAGTGAGCAAAGGCCCAGTGGAGGGGAGGAAGAGGCCACGGGCTCACCTGCCACTTCTTCCCCTTAGGTGGTGATTTTGGGGAGAATGAGTGACCGTTCACCGTACAATGCCCCGCGCCGTGGGAAGGCCATAACCCCTACCCTGTGGACTCAGCCATGCCTTGGTGACTGGCTTCGGCCAATGGAGTGAGTGGAAGTGACACGGGCTACTTCTGAGCTGAAGCTCTACCTGTGCCTGCCCCATCAGTCCCCGGAAATGCTCCTGGTAGAGCATGGTCCTCAGCCCAGGAGGATTCTGACACCCCGGGGACTGTTCACAATGTCTGGAGACATTTGTGGGTGCCATGACTTGGGGGGAGGGTGCTATGGGCACCTTGTGAGTTGAATTTGTTTGCTAGGGCTGCGGTAACACGGTACCACAGACTGGGCAGCTTCAGCAACAGAAACAGACAGGCTCACCGTTCTGGAGTCCCACATCAAGATCTGAGGGCTGTGAGGAGAATCTGTTCCGTGCCTCTCCTGTAGTTTCTGGTGTGTCACTGTCCATCTTTGGTGTTTCTTAGCTTGTGGAAGCATCACCCTGATCTCTGCCTTCATCTTCACATGCCGTTCTCCCCGGGCGCATGTCTGCATCCAGTTTTCCCCTTTTCCTAGGGACGCTAGTCATTTTGGATTACGGCCCCACCCTACTCCAGTGTGACTTCATCTTAGCTAATTACACCTGCAGCAACCCCATTTCCAAATAAGGCCACATTCTGAAGTATCCGGGGTTAGGCCTTTAACATATGAAATGGGTTGGGGGGCACAGTTCAACCCCTGACATAGGCGGAGGCCACAGATGCTGCTAAACATCCTTCCATGCACAGAACAGCCCCCACGATAGAGAGTGCCAGGAGTGCTGAGGTTGGGAAGCCCTGTGACAGAGCTTGGGGTTCTGGATGGCAGGTGGCTTGGAGTTGAGTGGCAGTCCAGCTGTGGAGGACCTGCAGCCCTGTGAAAAAGCCAGTTTTGGTCTTGTGAGCCATGAAACAGCTTGTGTGTTTCTTACACAGCATAATCTAGCCCATTCTGACTGATGTAGCCACCTGGCACCCGTTAAGAACCCACCCAAACCCCCAGTGGGATGGAGTGTCCTGATCATTTAGTAATGCCTGCCATGGTGCAGGAAGGGAAAGTGTCCAAATGTCCTCATCTTCACAGTTTCTGGCCTCACCCCTGCAACTCAGAAAACTGCCCAAAGTCACACAACTCACAACTCACAATGTTCTGGTGCTTTACACAGAGCTTGTCATGTAATAATGTTCAGTAAGTATTTGCTGGGTAAATGAATCTCCAGCAGGATTAGAAACCGGGCCTCCTGTTATCTTTCTACTCCACTAGGTCGCATCTCCAGAGATTTTCATGCTCCCAAAATATCGTAAATGCTGGGACTAAGATTGGACCGTGCCACAAATTCTACCTCTTTCTTATCAACAATTGCTCGTGGAAAACGGATTCTCATGTTCTCATCAGAGAAGCTTTAATGTGAGGTTTAAAGTGTTACTTTTCTCCAGGGTGATTTTCTTCATCTGGAAATTCAAAACGAGACTCTCTAATGCTGGCATTCCAGGCAGCAGCGATGGTGTGGGAAGGATTTGGGGAAAGGGGGAGGGCATGCTTCTTGGTGTTTCCAGAATCACCCTAGGCAGGCGAAGGCTCTTTGCAGTGTTAGATAGCCAGGGCCCAACCTGGGCGTGCATTGGTTGAGGGAAGGTAGATATCATGGGCACATAGTTGCAAATGAACAATGTGCCAGTGACCTCTACCTGCCCTCAACCTCTGCCTAGGAGAGATTAACCAAGGAAGGATCCGTGATTTGCGTGTTTGGAACAGGGCCTTAAGAGAAGGAAGGAAAATGATGAGAGGACCCCAGGCCAGTGCATGTCTGACCGAGCAGAGAGAGGAGCATTGTCTCTGTGCTGTCACCTTTGGGGAAAACCATGGGCTAGACCAGTGCTCTGGAGAAGATGGTGTCTCACAGGGAGGTGTGTGCCAGGACTTTTTTGGTTGCAAGTGACAGAAATCCAAATCGGATGGATTAAAGTAAAGAGGAGTACGATCACTTCTGTAAATGAAAGCTTGAAGGGTTTATGGCCTGAGATGCAGCTGGATCCAGGGTTTAAGTGACTTGGATTCTGGACTCTGGAAACACTGATCCATTTCTCTCTCTCAGTTCCTCTGTTCTCTAAGTTGGCTCCATTCTCAGCTGGCAGGAATAAAAGACATGATGAGCAGCAACCTCAGGCCGCTATCCTGCCCTCACGGCAACTGTGACATCAGAAGAGGCCTCAGTCCCTGTTGTGCCAGCAATGATCCAGGATCGGCTCTGATTGGACCAACCAGGGTTACATCTTCAGCCCCATCCCCACCCCTACCAGTGATTGAGGCTGGACAATGGAAGGGCCAGGCCTGGGTCACGTGGCTGGCCCTGGATCCACCCAAAGCACAAGGATTGAGCTTGTGAGCCAAGAATACCTAGGGCCAGAGAATGGGGGAATGGCTGCTGAACAGTCAGAAAGACCCTGCGCCCACCACACAAGACGACGGTCCCATTGCAAAAATGTCTATTTCTAGTATAAATGCCCCTGAGGGCACCCCTTTCCCTGTCAATGAAATGTGACTTGAATTCATTTCTTACACCAAATACATGGAGACAGCGCAAGACTCATTAAGAAGAAGGATGAGCGAGTGCACACACTGGATTTTAATGGTTTAAAACTATGTTGCCTCTGTCTGTTTAAGGATTACTATTCCTCAAAGAATTCAGCTCCATACGATAAGTGTTAATACTTTATTTCTTGGGGGAGTCTGCAGTCTGGAGTTGGAATTGATTGTGAACAGAATAAAATAATTTGCTTTTTATCAGCATCCTCCATGAAAACTTGTTTGCAGCCAGTCTGGGCCTCGGAGGAAAACGCATTTAGCTTCACCTCCCTAATCCCTCTGTAAGGCACCTAAATCACCACCCATCACTCAGCACCACTCAGCCTGAAAAGACCGTCGCTCGGTAATCATAAAAACAGAATTACGGTCACTGTCACCTCCTGCTGATGGCTTCTTTAGGGCCAGATGAGAGCAGGACTTAAGAGTCAGCAATCGCAGGGAGCCACAAGGGCCCGCGGCTCTGCCAAGCGTGGCTGTGCCCACGGAAGGACCCTGTGTCCCCTAAATCAGCGCTGGCCATTCTTGTATTCTTGACTCCCAAAGTCAGAATTAATGACTCTCTCCTTTACCCTGGCGGTGGTAGCTGACTGCTCATTTACAGACTACTGATGAGTTTCATTTTGCTTTTAAAAGATAAATCAATCACCAAATCTGATCGTTGGGAATTTCCACATAAAAGTCTGGATTTTTACTCCCTTTTTAAAAAAGAGGGAGAGTTGAAAGCACTGCATTTGGCTGGTGCTGAGGAACGACGTCCCACCTACCTCGCCAGTTCGCCCCAGCCCTCGCCACTTTCTGGAGGCCCCTTCACTCTTTATGTCACCTGCCTGGCCCCAGACCACCTACATCTGAGAGCCCAGCCCACATGTGAGAGCCCAGCCCACAGTGCAGCAGGTGGGTTGGCGCTCAGACTCTATAGACAGATGACTTGCCAGCTTCCACTGCCAGCTCTGACCTGTCCTCGCTGGATGTCTTGAAGCAATGACTTGGTTTTGCATGTGCATCAGTTTCCTCATTTGTAAAATGGGTACAGTCATAGCACCGGTTGATATGCAGAGCAAATGAGTTAATGAACACGCAAGGCAACTGGAACCTCTCCCGGCACACAGAAGAGCTGTGCGCAGATAAACTGCTACTGCCATGCTCCTGCCTTCCTTTGCCCTCATGGCATTCTCTGCCCTATCTTGGATATGGCGTGCATTGAACTGTGGCCCCCAAGAAGATATGTCCAAGGCCTCCACCTCTGGTGCCTGTGAATGGGACCTTATTTAGAAAATGAGTCTTTGCAGATATAATGAAGTGAAGACTCTTGAGGGGAGACTATCCTGGATTAGTCGGGTAGGTCCTACAACCTTGACAAGTGTTTTTATGAGACAGAAGAGGGAGCCAATGACACAGAGGGGAAGACCTGTGAAAATGAAGGATGGGACTAGAGTGAGGCCACCACAAGCCAAGAACACCTGGGGCCACCCAAAGCTGAGAGAGGCTGGGAAGGCGTCTCCCTGAGAGACACTGGATAAAGCGAGGCCCTGCAGACACCTTGATTTCAGACTCCTGGCCTTCAGAACTTCGAGAGAATAAATTCCTGTTGTTGCAAGCCCTGCAGTTTGCAGTGATTTGTCACAGCAGCCACAGGACACTAATAGCAATGGGATGGCAGATTCTGTGGCCAATACCATTTCTCTCCAGCCTGACCCAGCTCAGTGCTGGGCACGATGTCAGGGTGACTCTGGAACACTTCTCAATTGGGAAACTGTATTTACACCTCCCAGCACACCTGTGAGGGATAGAGGGGCCCTTTTTAGGGCAAGCAGTGCCGGAACCTGGAGTTCCAGGGCTGGGGGAGGGGGTTCCCCTATCCCCACAGAAAGGCGTAGAGCAGCAGCGGGTTCAAGGGAGAAAATGATGTTCACATGTTTAGGAAGAGATGCAAGAGCCTTCCTGCTTCGACCCAATTCATCCATCAGAATCGCACCTAGTACATGTGTGTGGGCTGGACCAGATCCCTGCTATGCAGGCCCAGTGCAAAACGGAAATATGAGGACCCTTGTTCAAAAACATTTAAGAATTTTAAGATGGTGACAATAGAGCACTAAGCCAAGTGGGAGGCTCTTCTGAGCATGGGAGACTGCACAGGTCACACGCCCGTGACGCCGGGCCTGGAGACCCAGCAGGGAGCAGGGAACAGGTCATACCACGTCCCTACCCCAGAGCTTACCTTTTGATGGGAGAGCGGCAAGAACCAAGTAACCAAACCTACAACACAGATGCACGGTTCTCATCCTCATGAGCAAACCCGGCTAAGTAGATCCACTTTACTCTCACAGGAAGGGGAAACAGAGAGTATGAGAGAACAGAGAGGTTAAGGTTGCACAGCTGGTTTGTGCTACAACTAGGCTGCGGGCCCTAAATGTTTTTACCTATTTCCCCTCAAGCAGGCAATTACTAGAGAGCTGATATGTTCCACTTCACATATATTAACTCCTTCAATCCTGCCACATGGTCAATCCTGTTATTATCTTCATATTACAGATGAGGAAACTGAGGCACAAACAGTGTAAGTAACTTACCCTAGGTCACACAGCCGGCAAGTGGCAGAGCCTGGATTCGAACCAGGGAGATGGCTCCAGGATCTGTATTTTCTACCCCAGTTCTCTACCGCAGGGACCGTGTCTTGTTAGGTTGAATTTTGATCGTTAATCCTAATTCTTCAAGCCATTGTGCCCATTTTCATGCAACTTGTTGGAATTTACTGTTGTTTCAGCATAAATATGGTTAAGAAACCATCGTATTTTGCCCAGAGGAAAAAATATTAACAAAGATTTGCCCCAGAAGGAGTTTTTGGGAAGGAGGTTTTCGGGAAGGAGTTACCCGTGTCATGAGGTGGAGGACAGGGCATCACGCCTTGGTTAGTTCAGGGCATACTCTGGTCTCCTCTGTCGCCTGCCACCTCTCTTGTCTGTTTCGTTGCTCACTGATGTGTCTATCTCGGGCTGCGAGCCTAGTGCTCGGCACACACTGTTGTTGAATGAATCTCTGTCTTCCTCAGTCCGTGCCGCTCTCTCCATCCCTCCATCCCTCTCTCTCTGCTTCTGCCTCTAGGGCCCTGCGACTTCTTGAGGATTGTTCCAGGAAACACACTTAAGACACCTGGGCTCAAGGACAGTGACCTGTCCAGACGTGAACACGATCCAGGTGGGCCAATGACTCAGTGCCCCCATCCCAGCCCCATCACACCAGGAAGACGAGACAGATGGACCACTGGGCCCAGCGTAATCAGGGCTTGGAATGGGGGCCTGATTACCTGTCCATGGAACATTGATTTATAGGTAATTCTTCTTCTCCTCCAAGACTCCAGATTGCAGCTAATTTACCGACAGTCTTAAATCATCCCCCAACAGGCAGTGGTGAAACCCGAGGCACCGTCTATCATGGGCCTCCTCTAACCACTGCCTTGATTAAAATGAGGGTGGTGAGAATATCCTCCTTTGTACCGAGGGTGGGGCTCACACGGGAACTGGCAGTGTCGTTTATCCAGAGATGGTGGCAGCCCACACATGGCTCACTTAATTTCATGTTTGGCTGCTGACGGGTTTTCATTTATAGATAATATAAACAGGTTGACAGGGCCCCAATTAACTGATTTGTGGTCCTTTGGGAACAAAATGCTTATTAATATTCATAAACATTTGTAGCACTTAGGCAGATGCCCGGCCCTGACATGATCATAATATGTCAGCAACAGTGAGCTCCCGTGATATCTGATTTGTCCCTTTCCTGTGGACCCCAGAGAGCTTTGTCTGACCATGGTCCCTCTCCAGGAGGTGGGCCCAGCTCTTGATCCCGGCATTAGTGCATGATTTATCGATCACATCTTGAACTTTCCACAATCTTTTTTTCTCCCCAGATGTCCTTGACCCAGCCTTCCTCCAACCTCACCCCGAATCTTTTTTGAGATCAGCTGAGAACTTCTTCCTCCAGGAAGTCCTCCTGGATTGATCTCTCACTACAGTGATGCCATCTTTCTATATCAGAGTTACTTAGTGCAGTGTAATTGTTTACATGAGGGTAATTGTTTGCTGTTTGATGTTCTTAGGTTATTTTATCCAAGAATGTTCTGCCTTGTGAACTTTCCCCAAAATCAGGGATAAATCAATTTCTTCCTGTAGCAGTAGAGCCTCACCTTCTCCAATGCCATTCGTGCCATGGAAATTAAAGAACAAACAAAACAGCAGCAGCTAGCATCTACTGGACTCTTCATTACATGCCAGGAAATACGCCAAGCCTCTTACTCGCTTTTTTCACCTCAGTACTGGGAGGCAGGTGCAAGAGTCTTCACCATTTTCTAGATTAAGAAACTGAGACACAGAGAGGCCCAGTAACTCGCTCAAGACCACAGATCAGTGAGGGGCACCGTCAAAATTAGTCTTAAAAATTCCCTCAAGTACTCATAAGGTCCAGTATATATGGTCGAGTGCACTGACTTTAAAACTTTATTTAACTCTAACGCGTAGCATGAAATGTATCTTTCCCTGTGATCTGGTACACACTCGTGCATAGGCACACACACGTGGACAGACACACGTGATGGAATTGACAAGCCTCTTAAAGCAATATTTATTTTATGATGTGTAAAATATCCTACTGTCTTCTCCCCTATTCCATCCTCTTGGGGAAAATTCTGTCCCACTGATTTTATTTCTTAATCTATTAACAGCTCACAACCCTCTGATGGTGAGATGGTTATATTAAGGGTCAATTTGATTGGATTGAAGGATGTAAAGTATTGTCTCTGGATGTGTCTGTGAGCGTGTTGCCAAAGGAAATTAACATTTGAGTCAGAGGACGGGGAGAAGCAGACCCACCCTCAGTCTGGGTGGGCACCATCGAATCAGCTGCCAGCATGGCTAGGATAAAAGCAGGAAGAGGAGCGTGGAAGGAGTAGACTGACGGAGTCTTCTGGCCTCCACCTTTCTCCCGTGCTAAATGCTTCCTGCCCTCGAACATCGGACTCCAAGTTCTTCAGCTTTTGGACTCTTGAACCAGTGGTTTGCCAGGGACTCTCGGGCCACAGACTGGAGGCTGCACTGTCGGCTTCCCTACTTTTGAGTTTTGGGACTCAGACTGGCTCTGTTGTTCCTCAGCTTGCAGATGGCCTATTGTGGGACTTCACCTTGCGATTATGTGAATCAATTCTCCTGATAAACTCCCCTTCATGTATACATATATCCTGTTAGTTCTGTCTCTTTGGGGAGCCCTGACTAATAGAGGTGGGTCGTGATAGAGTTTGAAGATCACTAGTGTGAAGCACGCCACACAAACACATAGAGAAGATGCTGTACATTTCCCTAAACCTTTGTAAGTAAGATACCAGCATTTACCTGGGGCTTACTCGGTGTCAGGCACTGTGGTCAGAACTTTTCAACTCTTAACTTCATTCCCTATGGAATATTAGGTTGAATCATATGAAATTGCCTATAGTTGACAATTTCCTGTGGGGAATAGCAATTTCACATAGCTGAACTTAATATTTATCTTTATGGTAATTCCATTTTGTACACACACACACACACAAATTACAAAACAACAGAGAGGTGAATTAACCTGTTCAGTGTTGCACAGCACCATGTGAGGTTGCTACACCTCACTCCCAGGCAGCCTGGCTCTAGCCCATAACCGTATGTCCTCCTAACCACTGGGTAGCCAAGGCTCTTTAGCCAATGATTCCTCAAGGATACTGAGGAAGCTTGCAGGGGCCACTTGAATGAGCAGTATTTCCCCCCTGTTTTATGCCTGGGAAGCCCCTTCGAATCATTCTCACATCTTTCTATAGGTTTTCCAAGCTTTCTGGACTTCTAGACATCACGGCATTCAGTGCCCAGGGCCTCCCTCTACTGAGCCCAAAGACTAGCTGAATTCCTGCCCTGTGTCAAGCCCATCTCTGCATCTCACTACCTCCTCAATGTGCAGTGGAATTTGTTGATGAGTTAAATGCAGTGTGGCACGATTACCCACTGTTTCCTCCCAGGGCGCATACCTGGGATGCATTTGCTGACCATCAGTTTCAAAATGCAGTCAGAGACGTAGTCAGAGGCCCACTGAAAGGTCAAATGACAGTCTGGACTAGAAGAATTTTTTTTCATATCTAATAACTCAATAAAAAGCAATGAGTTGGAAGAGGTATTAGAGTCCCCATCACCCAGCTGCCCCCCCGAGCCCTGACATCTGCACCTCTGCATCAGAACGTCCCTGACACTTGATGAGCCGCCCTTGTCATAAAACCATCTAGTTACTACGCCTTTGGATCTAGGGCATCACCCATCTGCTTCTGGAAATTTCAATTACGTTATGTAAGCCATGAGGTACTTGCTTACAATTTATTCACCTTTCCAGGATTTTCATTTCCTCTTACCCACAATGGGCCTGTGGGTCCCAACCAACCAGTCGCCACCCTGCTCTGCTGTGAGGACATGGCGCCAGCAGCCTCCACCTCTTTGAAAAACGGTAGGGTAGCCCCTGATGCTGGCTCGGGATCTCAAATTACTAATCAAGGCCAACATCAGATGTAGAAACAGCTGAAGATATTCAAACCCCAGGATCATCCTCAATATGGGTAAATGAGCACATTCGAGTGGCCCTTGGCAACGGAGACACAATGACAGAATTGCAGCTCCATCTGCCACCACCCCCTCCCACCAGCAGGTGCCCAAAGAGGGGCACGCCTCGGCTGGATTATTTACATACATTTACATATTCTATGTTTCATTATTAGCATATATTTACTATCCTCTTTGTTATAAAACTAAAGATAATCTTCCCATGTTTTATTTTCTGTCAAGTGTATTCCGTTGTATTTACGTCTGAGGCAACTCCACTGTAATCCCAACAATAAAACGATCTGCTCTTGAGGGCACTCGGAGAGATCTGAAAGAGCGCTAGCTGAGACTGAAAAGCCTGCCTGCTGGAGCCGTCTCTTTCATTTACTGACTCTGTGACTTTGGAGAAGTCATCTAATATTTCTGAGCCATAGGTCATCTTTTCTCTAGACTAGTGGTTCTCAACTGGGGGTAATTTTACCCTTAGAGGACACTTGGCAATGTCTGGAGACATCTTTTTGGCTTGTCACAATTGAGAAGGGGAGGGTGCTACTGGTATCTAGTGGGTAGAGGCCGGGGATGCCGATAAACATCCTACAATGCCCAGGACAACCCCACCACAAAGAATCGACCAGCCCAAAATGTCAACAGTGCTGAGGTTGGTAGACTGCAGTGTAGACGACTCCAGTGTAGACATACAAAAGGCATGAAAAATATTATCATGAATATCCATGTTTCTAGCTTCCAGACATGAGGAGAGGGTTGAAGCCCTCCGCGTGTGTGCTGCCGAACCCTTGGAGTGCCTGCGCCCAAGTGCATGTCCCTCCTTCCCCAAGGAATAGCCACCATGCTCAGTTACACGGTTATCACTCCTATGTACACCACCGACAAGAAGGGAATGATTATAGCAGATCAGCCTCATTTAAGAGCTGACATAAAGAACAGTTGTCTGAGACAGAAAGCCCAAGAAATATCCCCGAACAAAATTTACAAATGGAGGTGGATTACAATGATCTCATCTGTTTTTCCTATTGCCCCTTTCAGCATTCAGGGTAGAAATCCTTCCACCTCCTTCGACAGATGCAGAAATGAAGTCCAGAGAGGTTAAGTGACTTTTCCCTGACCGCACAGCAAGTCAGACCCAAGTTGGGCTCAAACTCCAGTCCTCAGAGTCATCTTTCGGCTTCACCATGTGAGTCCAGCTTGGATACACTTTCAAAGACTTTGAGCCACAGGAGTTAATGGAAGTTGATCTGGGCTTCTCACCCGGGTTAGCAGCTGTGCGCTTTCTTGCTCGCGCTCTCTTTCCCTCTCATGCCTATGTGAAAAGCATTTTGCTTGGACTTATCTGCCTCCCCCCAAGTGGCTATTTCATTTTGTAGAGTGGCATTGAGGCGGGCTTCTCTCCAGAGGGAGAGAAGATTGAAGCCTGCTCCAAAGGCATTTGCCCTTTCAGGCCAGCCCCCTGCGGAGAGCCAGAGCTCACAGGAACAGCAATTGGGCTGCCTCTCCTGTTCCTTTTTGTTCCTCATGAAAAAAGGTGAAAAAGAAAGCAATTTCTGAGAAAATGACCCAGGTGATTAGGTACAATCACTTCTCTTTTGCTTTCTGCTCCAGCTGGGAAGCTGCAGTCAGACTGTGTATGAGGAGGGAGGAGGGGGAGGAAGGTGGGGAAGAGGGCCCTGGATCTGAGCTGCTGCCATCCCCTAGGAGGAAGGGACAAGGCTGGCTGCAGAGCCACTTCACAGATGACTTCAATCTTTTTTTTTTTTCTGTTTATTTAATCCAAGGGATGAACAAACAGATTAAATTAGCAAATACTTCTATAAGGTTTGTTACTAAAAAAGCATTTTCACACTCTCTTTGCCCTCCCCCCCCTTTTTCCCACACTCAGGCGGTTGCTTTCAACTCTTTTAGCTGAATATGTTGATATTTAAATCTAAGTAGTGTAACCACCCAACAGGTTCATCTTGCTGGCTGCCCAGATAGAGCTGATTTATCAAGACAGGAGAATGGCAATAGAGAATGTTTAATTCATGCAGAGCCAACTGAGACTGGAGTTGTATTATGACCCACATCAGCCTCCCTGAAAATTCCGAGGTTAGGGATTTTCAAGGATAGTTTGTGGGGAGAGGGTTAGGGAATGGGTGCTGCTGATTGGTTGGGGATGCAATCACAGGGGCGTGGGAAACGGTCCTGGTGCTCTGAGTGCTTGTGGGTAGGGCCACAGGACCCAGTGGGTCACAAGTCTTGGGTGCAGGCAGAGTCATCAGGTCTTCAGAAATGTAAAAGTCTGAAAAGATGTCTCAAAAGGCCAATCTTAGATTCTACAATAGTCATGTTATCTGTAGGAGTAACTGGGGAAGTTACGAATCTTGTGACCTCTGGAACAAAGGTGGATATCCTTTAACCATGCCTACATCTTAGCAGGATTCAGGCTCCTCTCGTAATCCTAACCTGATGATTGAGTTTTGGGAAGGGCTATTATCATCCTGGCTTTAAGGTTAAACTACAAACTAAATTTCTCCCGAAGTTAGCTTGTCCCACACCCAGGAATGACCAAGAGCAGTTTGGAGGTTAACAATGAGGTTGGTTAGGTCAGATCTCTTTCACTGTCAACATTTTCTCACTGTCTCAATTTTTGCAAAGGTGGTTTCAGTGGCATGCTTGTAAAAAGCCTTGCTGTCTTTGAAGTCAAAGCAGGTGACCGAGGAGACATAAGTGAGTGTTACCAAGTGAAGTGGGCAGACTCAGCTGCATGCGCACCAGCAGCCACCTACACTCATGAAGAACACGCCCATAGCAAGGCTGAGTGGAACAAGAGCAGGCGCCCATCTTCCTTTTAGCAACATGGAGTCTACATACCACCCCTGGATGCTGACTGCAGATTTCTCTTTTTGGAAGACAAAGTGAAACCCTCATTGTCTTGGCCATTGTTTAGATTTCTCTCACTGGCAGCCAAACAACCATGAATTGGAACAATGACAAAGTCAAGTGCAAAACTTGGCCTTTATTTTACCCACTAGACAAACCTGTCACTGCACATTGTTAAAAAACAAAATCCTTCTTTGTCATATCATACGATCTGCTGTCCAGTAAAGAACAGCCTCACAATGACCAGAGACCCTCAGGCGACACTGCAGAAGAGCTCTCAGGCTCTCAGAATGCCCCGACAAAGCCACACTGTTCAAAACTCACCTTCACAAAGCATCCCTTTGG